GTAAGCTTTTAATGCACAGGGTTCCACTAGCAGGGCTGTCTTGGCGATAAGAGGTGTATTGTAGCCCATTATCGCTCAGACCGATGTGACCCACAAATGTGCCTGAGGGCGCCGTGATTCGCACATAACTGACAACAATACCATAATCCCAGTTGATGTTGTTCAACGGAACATTTGATGTAATTTCACTCACAACGAACTTCCTTGCTTGTCATCTCGCTCTTAAGTCTAGAACTGCCGCCTTGCTCGGGGCGTAATTTTCCGAACGTAACCCAGCGACCGGTTCCCTTGCTCAGGGACCATTGATAAACTGTGACGCCATTGGATATGTCTAACTGGTCAGCGTCGATGCTGGCCGAGACTTTTTTACCAAGACTGAGCTGATTACCACTATGTTCTAGAAAACTTGCCTCAGCATTGCAACAGATCCGAGCGCTACCACTTCTCCACTGTCGTTTATCGCCGAAAAATCCCCAGAGGCTGCTGTCACGTCTGCCTCGCTTCTAGGATCAACCACCCCGATGCTTGCAGTGATCTCACCAGTATATAATCTTCCATCAGCTGTGAGGAAGGTATTTTCAGGAATGTCCAGATCGACAAAGTTTGGTCTTCCCCCGGATCCTTCAAGAGGGATGCTTTTTTCCTGTTCGCCGGGAATTTGATCACAGGCGATTTCTTTTGAAGAACGATGGTACAAAAGACACTTGCCCCTCATGAAGTTCGAAAACTTTCCTTGTATCTTCCAGCAGTCCTTGAAACTTGCCTTTTATACTCAATACTATTCGTTTGGTTCCTGACTTGACCAGAATCCTGAAATTTCCCCGCTTTTCCTTATAGTATTGGTTACCAGCGTCGTTGCTCACAGTCATCTCACCTCGCCAAAGGGGATTTCCTTCGGGATCGACTACTTTGCTACAAAAAACAATTTTTGAGACAGCACAGACAGCACATGCACATTTAGAAACTTTTCTGAAAGTTTCATACCGCTTTTGCAAGTAACGCGGCTATTGAACATAGAAGCTGAACTACAGCATGCCGTTGGTTACGCTTGACGCATGCTTCGATAGAGCAAGTACCAACATTGACGCTGTTACTTTCACTGCTATCTTCTGTGCATCCTTCAGGCAATGATACAATTTTTGTCAATGAGGTGGGGTTGCATGAATCTTCACGATTACCTGAAATTGCACGTTTCAGAACGTAATTTTAACCCAACAAAAATCACCTTATTACTAAGTTTGATCAAAATGAAATAGGATATTTCGAAAACCAACTCATGCTTAACTAGGGCTAAGAGGATACAAATTCTGTGCTTTGTCGTGTTATTGAGTTTGGAAGATTGTGCTATGAAGAAGACCATGCAATTCATTTCTTTCATAAAAACTGTAACTGCGTCCCTGTCTGGGTATAGGTACACGTATCATAAGGTAAAGGTGGTACGAGACCATGTTGAATAAAGAGCATATACCACACAGGCGAAGAGTGCTTTTCACGTGGTTGATCGGCTGGCTCAGAAGTGATTAGCAGCTAGATATCTTCTTGCATTCATACCCACTTCGATGAATAATCATTAATCAGTCACGAAAAATTGCGAAAAAATTAGCGCGCGCCCTTGATGTAACGCAAGTAAACAAAGCTGTCACATCAAGATCACACTCCAAAGGAATATTTAGTCGATGCTTGTTAAAAACTTGTGGACATACCATAAAACAAACATAAGCAACTTCCAGCCATCTTGAGTGAACACGATCGGTCAATAAAGAATCTTTTATATAGCAAAGAGATCTGGCTATGTTAAAAACTAATAACTCAGTGACTTTTTTATTAAGAGAGCCAGGAAAGAAAGCCAAATATGTTTGCAGCACAACAAATCAACGATAGTATTATTTTTATATTTTCTCTGTTTTGACTGTCTTCTGCCTTTTTTTCGCGACTTCATCACCAACATAGTCCAAAACTTATGAACTTTGTAAGTCCGCTCTACGCACTTCTTTTTTCTTGCGCGGGATCAAAGGGCAGCCTTTCAAAACACACGATTCGCTTCATATTGCCCACGGGCGCTGCCAGCGATCTGATAAGATGGCTTAATCATGTTGTTATTAATAGTGTATATCTTTCTAAACGAATAAAGTTTTGGGCATGATGGATTACTGTATAGTAATTCATCAGTTCATCAATTTATCAATTTTTTTACTACAGCTACATGTGTATAAAAGAGAGAAAATAAAACCTTTTACGATATTTTATTTTCATCCTCAGAATTCAGATAAAACAATCCCCATCTGTGATACGATACCATTAAACTCTACTCTTGGTAATAGGGAGGGCAAGAATGACATGTTTTCTTTACTGTTTGCAAAGAACAAGAA